TAATCTATCAATTCGATTCGTATACATAGTCGATCACACACTCGACCGAACACCCAAACTGAACTCAGTTCATAGTTGGAGTCCCGACCTGCTTTCCCAAATTCTGTTATCAAGCCCCCAAGAAGACGCAATTCACACGCTGGGGACTTTTGCCAAACTCCAAACTCGCACAACCGTCAAACCAGTTAGCCACTTGGGCCGCCATTTTCCCTCGATGAGGACGAGAATCCCATCCCGGTCTCATACCTGTCCCTGTCCTGAATACCTACGCGATTCTCCCCCGCTTAGATTCGACTAAGCCTTCACAATACATGAGCTTTGAAGGATTTCCGATCCTTCTTACTCTTTAATAACCAACTGCTGACAACCTGCTTCTTGTCTGTGCGAGTGCTCTATTACCGGCCCAAACCCCAAAGGCCACACAACTCCTAAAGATCTTACAAACACTTCCCGAATCCCAATGGGACTAATAATCTCAGACGCCTTGAAATGATGTCTCACCTATATCTTGACGTTCAACTAACCGATGTTCCGACCAAGCCCCAACAGTAACCCCCTTTTCCTCGCGCTTCCAAAAGCCGACCCGAGCATAATGGTCGAGTTACCAATCCTGTCTGTAGGCCTTTCGCATCACGTCTCTGAACCGATCCCGACTACCAACCGAAACAACGTTGGACACACCAACCCATCAGAAAGGGAAACGATTGTTCACTAACCACCCCGTAACTTACGTTATGCAAACAACATAAGACAATGTTTGAAGGTATACCCCAAACACAAACAGGGCAACACACCCGGAGATACACTTAGTAAAACCCTCGAAGCGAAAACTCCCTCGTGCAACTTCCTGCAAGTATCACACTAAACTCGTCCCTGCTGGCCTCTCACAACTGACTCTAACCCTTGGGTCACCTTCTGAGACCCTCCAATGTATGTTCATGATATGATTCCCCTCTTCCCAATGTGCTCCAAATCGATCCCTGCTCTCGAGCTCTAGAAATCATATCAATCAGGGTCTCGCACCCTGGCACACTCACCAGTTCCATCGTCAACGGTTGAACTGCAATAGTTGGAGCAACCTCTGCTCTATATCGGGCTACTAACCATCCCTCAGACCTAGTCTCCCAATCCCGAAAGCGTAATAGAACGTACAATCAATCTGTGCTGTTCGATACAAGAGATCCACGATGAATCCAAAACCCTGGCAGTCCTTCCACTAACTAGCTCACCACCGGATTCGGGACCAAACCCTGGTCCACCCTCATGTGTGCTAATCCTCATCTGGAAAAAACAACTATCCCTACTATGTACTATCTAAACATAACCAAGAATTCTGCTTCCCATAAGCTTCTTAGATTCTCCAAGACTCCCACTGATTCGAGTATGGATCCTGTGCTTTCAGTAGTATGGGCCCATACTACCTTCCACACCTATCCATACTTTCCTAAGCAATCCTCCCGAATCCTCTAAGTCACCTACACCACTGGTGCACCAAATATCCGCTAAACAACAACACAATATCCACCGAATCACCTCCTAGGCTCCTCCTAGTCTCCCAACCTCACTGAACCGCCCCACTAACTCACTGGAGCATATCCTAGGCTTTCCTAGGTTCCCAACCTCGCCCTGCCATCAGCTGCTGAGGAACTCCCCATGATGCCAGCCATCCACCTCCTGGATATCGTCATATCCACTTAATAGCTGACTCTCACCACTCAAGAGTTCCACAAAGCACAAAGCAAGCAGCATTCGTACAGTAGCACCCCCGATCCAAATAACTGCCATAGAACATTCTACCCACATATCGCAACTCGCGCTATCCACATCCATCCATCCTCACTGTCGGCTGCCTTATGCATGCAAATTATACACAGAACAGGATCTAATAGACTGTCGAATAATAGACTCTACCCTAGGACCACAATAAGACAAGAAACAGGAAATAAGGCCAAATCAATTATTCTAAGGCTATAAGATCCTAACCGTATACAATTTTAAAAGAATACACATAGCAGTTACAATTACCAATTATCATTCTCATTCCAGCATGGCATCCAATATTCCAAGGCTACAAGCATCACAGATCAGGCCAACCTATTGCTGACTACTCAGCACTAGCATGCAAGTCTACCAACTCATACAGCATATACAGGCATCTCCCCTAGCCCTAACTAGCATGCGATTCTCAGATTCATAAATCAACTCATAACAGATAACAAATGTGGGTATTCTGGGGAAACTTACTTGAGCTCGGCTAATTGCATGCACCACACCCTTTCTTGTCTTAGAAAACTTTTTCCTTGAAAACATTTTTCTTTTTGAAAACTTTACAGATCCTCAGTTTGAGTTCAGACACACCCGAAAGTATGTCCAAATCCCTCAAACCAAGGCTCTGATACCAACTTGTAACGATCCAAAAATCAGAGGTAAAAATTTCATTTTTAATATAGCTAAAACATTGATACCATTTATTCAAACATTCTAAATCATCACTAAGTAAAATAATTATCAGAGTTCGTCCCAAAACCATTCATTGCGGAAATCATAGGTGTCTGCACTACGATCAATCCGCGCCCTTCATTTCCAAATCGATGCAACCTAAAACCAAAACTGTAAACCGTAAGCACAAAGCTTAGTGAGTCCCCCAGAGCATACCCCAAACACAATCCACATAACCCATATCGTATTAGCTGTAAAAAGATATCTCTACCGTTATCACATATCAATCAGCTATGAAAGCTACTCTACCACATATCACATATCAGATAGCTATAAAAGCTCTCTCTACCATTAGAACATATCAATTAGCTATAAAAGCTACTTCTGCCACATATCACATATCAAATAACTATAAAAGTTATCTCTACCATTGGCACATATCGATTAGCTATACAAGCTATCTCTACTGTTAGCCACAAAGGCTATCTCTATCATTAGCCACAAGGCTATCTCTACCATCAGCCATAAAGGCTGTCTCTACCATTAGCCACATGGCTATCTCTACCATCAGCCATAAAGGCTGTCTCTACCAGTAGCCACAAAGGCTATCTCTACAGCATATCACACATACATACATATCACACACCTCTACATAGCAATTATACCAACTATCATAAAATGGGCCGACCTTGGTGCCTTAGACCCATTGGTATGGTGAGAAGACTCACCTCACAAAGCTAAATCGGCAACTGAATTCGGGTATGCCCTATGTTGCTCTTCCCAACTGCCTATAATCAATGAGTAATTAACTCAGCATAATCTCATAAATACCCCCAGGGTCAACCCCGGTCAAAGTCAAAGTCTATAGTCAAGGTCAACAGTCCATATTGACCTTGACTCGTCGAGTACAATCATTCACTCGTCGGGTTCCCTGCTTAACTCATCGACTCGCCGAGTCACCCGAGGAACTCGTCGAGTTCCTTGATGTTTACGGTCGTAAACCACCAACGGTCCAGATCTAAGCTTGCTTCCATTTCCTCAAAGTTGGTCATAACCCTCAAATAGAATCTAAGCTTAAGGTAACAGATTCATACCTTAATTTAATGCTCAAGACGAACTAGATGCTAGATCTAGTGTTTTCCCCTTGATACTTCTTCTTCAAACTTGGAATTCCTTCCACAATCCCAAGGTTCAAGCTCCCAAAGCTCTTACTTCACACACCCAAGTGTTTGCGGTCGTAAACGCTTTCTTATGATGCTAAGGGAGGCTACAAAGGCGTATAATGTTGTTTATATAGGGCGCAAACCCCAAATTTAGGGTTTTCTTTAAACAGCTCGGACTCGCCGAGTCAACCCGTCGACTCGCCGAGTCAGTCCCGTTCCGCGTTCCATGATACCACGACTCTACTCGACGAGTTGGTCTCCCAACTCGTCGAGTCCATGCATAAAACCTTTCCAAATTAAACCAGGTGTTACATTTGGTTAGGGTAACAACTAGGTATAATGTTTCCTAGAAACTTGGCCAACATAACGATTAGACACGATGTTATCACTAAGAATGACTAGGCATAATATTATCCTTAAAAGTTTGACAGGGTATCTACCAGGCATAATATTATCCTAATGTTGTAGTTATATCACTAATACTTACACAATAACTTTCCTTTTGGTCTTTTTGTTAATTCAGACTTTCATTTTTAGCCTATATTTTCTACTCGCGATGATTTTGCAAAAATCATGACTCTCTCATGCGGGGTCTGTTTTTGACATTCTTAGTCTCAAAATTCATATTTTGAGGAGTGATACCTTTTTTCTTTTGGTTACTCTTGCTAGAAGTCAGCCGTTCTCTTCGTAAATTTTGACGTTGTAACTTTTTTTGCGCATTTGATTTTTATATATTATAAAAATCATCTCTTTAATGCTAAGTCGGATTTTTACGAAGTTTATATTTTGGAATCACGCTGACGCGTACATTCTGAATGTGTTAACCTGCTCTTAAGATGAGACGACTTTTTGCGCACTTATTTCTGAGCCTATTAGTCGAAATAATCGTATTTGGTAAGGAAGAAATCAAATATATTTATTAATATATCGAAATATTACATAGTTGTCATATTATACTTATTTGTCTACGTCGATTTCTAACGGTGGTCGGTAATGCTTTTGCCTTGGTTGTCACTCTACTACGTCACCTACATCTGCCACCACCACCGCTATCTCCAGCACCAACACCAATAACACCATCGTCACCCACCACCAATACCAGCACCACCGTTCATCTTTTGTGAATACTTTTAAAAAAACAAACAGTTTTTTTTCACTAAAGATATGAAAAAATATGTTTGGTCCATATTTTATTCTCGAAGACATGGAAAAAGACCGAAGATATTTTACATTTTCAAAAACAAATACCACCTAAATTGTGTGAGGAAAAGAGGAAGTAGATTGATCATATCTTACCCAAAAGTACTTAAAGAAAGAAAAAATTCGAAACATGATCCCACACAAAAGAATAATAATAATAATAATAATAATAATAATAATAATAATAATAATAATAAGATGGTGATTGTGAGGAATAGGGTAACCGGCCAGTTGAAAGAGTTCATCAGCAATGAGATGAAGGGTAAAAAGGTGAAAGTGGCGATACATAAAACGTTATACGTAAGTGATATGAAGGAAATCCAGAACATGTTGAACATTCTGATGAAGAAACTGCGTGAATTATTGAGAAAAAATGGGAAACTAGACCTAAATAATGCAATTGAATTGGAGGTGGAATTGGTGGGGCCAAGATTAAAGATGCATGAGAAACTGATGGTGTTGAAGATATGGAATATGAACAGCGCCAACAACTACGTCTTCAAAACGAAATGGAACAACTTTGTGAAGGCAAATGAAAAGGATTTGAAGGAAAACACAAAGATCAGGTCTGTTCGTTTCTCATATACGAAAAGTTTTGCTTTGCAATTGCATATTTGAAGGGGGCTAGATTGACATTGCATAGTTTTTTTTTCATTCAATCGTTATATTTTTATTCGGTATCTAAATTTTACAATCTAAATTGGTTTCCACTAAAGATCTAATTTTCTAAAGATGTTCATCATGGATATTTTTTTTTTTAAAAAGAGATATAATTATTGAAATCAATACTTGAAGCATTACAACCACGAACTTGTTCCAGATGATTAATATCATGAGATGGCGTCAGACCGTAGACATTTTATGTTTTGCAACAAATAATCAAACACATTTGCAGTTAAGAAAATCATTTGTTTAAGATATTGTAATTAAAGTAGTTATCTTAAAATAAAATCTACTAGATATAGGATTTAGTGAAGTTATCCACAAAACAAAGTTTTTATTCTAAATAATATAAAATAAAAACGTACAAAAAAGAAATGAGTTAGGCCATAAGGTATATGGCATAGTGCTCTAAGTGGTTTGCTTAACCGCATCTAGGAACACCACATATTTGATGTGATTTGGGTGCGATAGTTTCTCGAGTAGGGTACCTTTCACGTGTCATCTCTCCTCTTTTGATTGGACAACAATTTATAGACATATTTTTTTTAGTTTTTATAATTTTTTAATTAAATTATAGATATACTAATAATTATAAAAAAATATATGTATATTAAAATTCATAGTTTTTAATGCTCTACAAAAAGAATATAATACTGGCATAAAATATATTTTTAAAAATTTAAAAATAAGGGGAAGAGAAATATGACCATTTTATGGGTTTTGAATAGCAAGGGAGTGTGAGGAAAAATGAGGTGGCAGAAGAAATGTGAAAAATGAAAAGAAATGTGAAAAATGAAAGGATGGTATACCCTCCGGTCTCATATATGTATGATTAATCTTGTATTTTTAAATTGAATAAACTAGCACAAAGACTTATGTAACATTACTTGTGTAATTTATATATTTGAGATACATATATGCAAAATAATTAAAAACAATTAAGGTAGAGTACCTATTTTTTAAATAAATGTATCTGTATAATAAAAACTAAAATAAGAAAAATACAAAAATTAGGGAGAATTCCATTTTACGAGGAGGTTTAATCTTTATATTTTTAAAGAATAAACTATCACAAAAGACATATATGTAACATTACTTGTGTAATTTATATATTTGAGATACATATGCAAAATAATTAAAAACAATTAAGGCAGAGGTTTAATGGTGACAAATGAACTAAACATGTCATTTTTGTCAATCAGAGTCCAGCGGTATCGGGTGTTGTTTTCCCTTCTAGAGGTTGAGGGTTCAAGACTTCAAATCTCATTGGAGACATTGGTGGAATTATGAGTAGTTAGAATAGATTTGCCGTTCTAAAAAAAATGACCATCTACAAATAAAATTTGAAACTTGGACGTAAAGCACATACCAATGGAAACCAAATAAACCAAAATTTGATTTAGTATTCTTGTAAAAAATTCAAAACTTATAATTTAAAAACGTGGACCTAAAATGGAGAATAATGGAAACCACAAGGATAAAAAACTATAATTGAGAGTAATCGCATAGAAGTCCAAGAAGGGCTATGGCTTGGTCTGAATTCTCTGAATTGGTATTGGGTTGAGGCCCTGTCTAAGAACCATCATTAGTTGTAGCAGAGATAAGAGTAACCGAGAGTTTAGTTGTGGGATATTATTTATTACTCCTTCCGTCCCAAAATTATTGTCCACACATAAGAAACACACAGATTAAGGAAGTATTAATTAATACTAACTTTATATAATAAAATGACAGTTTTGTCCTTACTTTACATTTAATTTTTTATTAAATGTTTAGTTGGTTAAGTAATAATGTTATTTATTTTTAGAAGTTGACTATTATTTTGAGACAAACCAAAAAGGAAGATGGACTATAATTTTGGGACGAATGGAGTATTAGGGTTAGCTTGTGGGACACTCATTATCCCAATTAGGCAATAACATTAGAGGGTAAGTGTGCCAAATAACGGGCATTTGGTGTTGGGTATATGGTTGGTGGTTCATCGAAGATTAGGGCCGATTCAAGCTGATTTGAGGCCCTCAACAATATAAAAAAATAAGGTCTTTTTTTTAATACCAATTTTTTTTTCAAAAATAATATAAGTAGATATATAAAAAATGGGCCCAGAATCGCCCATGCTGCTCCACCCTCTGTTACAGCACTGTCCATAATACGTAAAAACTCCATGGAGTCGGTACACCTTAGAAGCTCCACCGCATAGGCGAAGTGTTAAGAGGGACGTCGTTTTGTTGGTAGCCATCTGATTGTTGGCGGTCATTGTTGTTTCTTTTACTTAGAAAAACTAACTCACACATACACTACACTACTCTACTTCTAAATCTAAACCATTAAACCCAAGCAAGACTTCGACCCTCAAACCTTTGGTCGAATGACACATTTCCATCAACTTGTAATGTAGATAGGTTGCATGTCTTTAGTGTGCATTGGTGTTCTTACCATTGTTTCGGTCATTATTGTTAGGTACACATTGAAATTTATAACAATGTCCATTTTGAAAGACGGTGGGATTTAAACAAGTATCACAATGAGATGTTTGATGTGGGTGAGCTCTGTTACGTCGTGTCTCTTTAAGCAATAACATAGATTGGGTCTAGAGAAAAATGGACATGAGAGTACGATAATGAATGATGACAACAACTTTATGATATTTTATCATAATCCATTAATCAAGTATGTGACCAAGTTTTTCTTTAAAATAGATTGGTCGATGTCTGCAAGGAGATCAAAAATAACCTTGATTTGTTGGCTTGGTGATTAATGAGCTGTCGATGTTACGAATGTCTTATCGAGTTGCATACCCTATGTGTCCTTGTTGTCACGTCAGAGATTTTCTAGTCTCCTCCAAACTTTCTTGGTAAAGAATCATATAGAAAAAGAGATTTATTGATAATTTCATAGTTCAAAGCTTAACCATAAGTCAAGCCTGTTTCAATCTTCAGGAGCAACTCATACTATGCATCATAATTTACTTTGTCCATATACAATGAACTTTGAAGAGTTTCTTGGAGGAGTTCTTGGAAGTCAACATTGATGGACGGCTAGGGTTTGTATCGTGGGAGGGGGGTTGAGATAGAGGACTAGAGGAAGTCACGAAGATACGAGAGACAAACAAAATCCATGATCAAGGAGGAAAAGGGAAGAGTCAATTACCAATATGATACCATGTAATCAAACACATTTTTCCGTAATCGATAGTGACTATCATTCGTCAAAATATATAGAACAATATACAAAGTATGGACATACATACAAAGGGCTTACATAAACACCTATACACAATAGTTGTGGTAACCGCCGTAGTGTATATAGTAATTATTATGGATTAGAATGTTAATTTGGTGTATGCTATCTTTGTATTTTGAAAGGTGTTACTCGTACATAATCCTAATACAAAGGTTTATAAACTCGGTTGGGCTTGGGCTAACTTATTTGTGGTACTATAGAATGAAGTCGGGCCAAAAGTTTGAGCCGACACAAATCTTGACTATCAGTTGCTTTCTCATATTATTTGCTATATAATAATATTTTCCCAATTGATAATAATTAATCCAACTTATTAGCCGTGATTAATTTGGGTTGAATATAAGATAGTACAAGTTTCTATCTAGTAAGTAAAGTTTGGTTTAAATATAACTTAGTACAATTTTCTGAATAAGTTTTTTAATCAAAACTTTTAATTTTTTAATCAAAAAATGTACATCATAATCTGTTTTATCAACATATTATTATTATCAACAATTAGCAGTTATATTAATTAAGAAAAATCTTTGTAGAACAACTTTATCGTATGAAGAAGTTATGCTTCTTCGAAGTTTCGTGATTAAACCGACTCGTCTCTACGTATCGTAAAAAATGATTTTTTTATAAATTATTCATTAGTCTAAGTAATCTAAGCGAAAGTCGTAGTAGTCATAAAATCGAAAACGAGAATATAGAGAACGTCCAAATCGGACTTCGTGAGAGGAAGTTATGATTTTTCAAACTTTCAACATAGCAGTATATGACTCAGAAACCGAAATTGAAATCGGTCGATTGTTAGGAATAAATCTAAAAGAGAATTAAAGTTCTTATTAATAGGAGACCGTTGATATAAAGACAGTCAAGAACGAACATCCGACGAGAGAGTTATGAATTTTTAACGAACTTTAACCGTCTAAGCATGTTAAAAATATAACTTTAAAAATAAAGTCAAAGTTAGCTGATAGAGTCTAAATAAAAGTTGTAGATCTCTTCGATAGCTACATGTGGATATAAAATGTGTCGAAAACAGAACTCGTATGAAGAAGATAATAATTTTTGAAGTTTTATAAAAAAATTGTGCGAAGGGGCGCTCGCCGACAAGGTGCGCGGTGCGCCTCAGACATACCACAAGATCATGACACGTATCACCACCCAGACGACACCACATCAACACCCCCCACCAAGTGCGTAGCGCGCATCCCAAATTTGCTTATAAAATGTTGTGAATTCTCCTCATTTCTTCACACCTTTCTTCTGGATTCTCTCTGAAACACTTTCCACCCTTAAGCCCTTTTGTAACATCGCGATTTTTCATCCAAATTTTTTTATATTTTTAAAACACTTATTTAACAGAATACGTTGCGGAAGACTTATTATGATTGTTTCAGAAACATCACCAATGTTACTTTCATGTCAAAATAAACTCATCAAAATATAAAGTTCACAAAAACATGATGATGAAAACCCAACATGTCCAAATGGTATCATAACTAAAGATACTAAATTATACTACCCAAAGATCCCCATCCTCACCAAGGCATCATGTCAAGCTACCTGTTCCATTCCACAGAAACCAACAAGCAAAGAACAAGTGTTAGCATAAGCTAAGTGAGTCAATATAGTACAGTGTTAAGAGAACACACATATCATAGATAGATCCACACAAAACATCCACACACAGTCAAAGACTCACTAGCAAGACATACAACATCACA